TACATGTGTTAATTACATGGACAAAACCAAAAAAAAGTTCGGTTTTTGAAATCTTATCTAAAGTAAATACACAAAAAGTTGGAATGCACTCTTTAAAGTATTTGAAGTATTTAGTAGGTAATATCTCAACAAATAATTTCTGACTTCATACCTGCCACTACAATCAGGAAGCGGGAAATTTCCAAACCTTCTGTAATTTCATTCTTTATTAATCTCATATCAGACTTCATACCTGACATACAATTAGTAGAAAAGGTAATTTTAGAACCTTTAATTTCCTTTATCTGGTAAATATTATCAGTAAATGTGATAAAGCTTTTACCAAAGTTGATGTTTTGGATTGTTACCAATTTTGTATAAAACCATCATAAAGTTTATTATATTTATTATAATTGTAAGATAAAAATTTAGATTCCTCATCTTTATATAAAAGACATGAATGTTTATAATTATAATAAATGTTCACATATCTCTATATAGAAACTCATGCAAACATACATTTACTTAATAATAGGAATTAATATATTTAATTATTTATTATGTATATTTCACAAAATATTATATTTTATATTTTATGCCCAATGAAGAAATAATTTAATAAATCGTATATAAAAATGTCAATATTAAATTAAAATATGTTTATATAAGTATGTGCAAAGATATACATTTATTATTATTTAATTATATTTGTTATTGTTTAATTTATAGCCATATAAATAAAGTTACAATAAGATTTATATGATAGAATGCATATTCATTCCATTAATATATAAATCGCCATGTCAGTCATATATGTCTGACATACCTACGCGATTTGGTGAAAGAAAAAAATTTAATAACAAATTCAATATTCCAGGAATTTTGTCAAAAAAAATTTTTCTTTGATACATTAAGTTTCCTTTATATATTTTTAACTATATTGTTATCTAATAACAATTTTTAATTGATAATTTTTTTCTGATATAATCGTGGCGATTAACGTGTTAAATTTATATCTGTAATTTTAGATAATTTGATTTGATTTTTTTCTAATAGTTTTTTTTAGTATTTTTTAATTGATAAATTTTTTCTGATATAATTGTGGCTATTAACGTGTTAAATTTATACTTGTAATTCTAGGTAATTTGATTTGATTTTTTTCTAATAGTTTTCTTAGTATTTTTTAGATTTTTCATTTGATTGATTTCTAATAGTGTTTGACTAAAATTTCAAGTTTTTTAAAAAAAATGCTTGTTATAACTTCCAATTATATTTTATTAATATTTTTATTCAGTTTTTATAATAAATCACTTTTATTTAAAAAATTAATCAATATACGAAAAAACTTTTAAATTATATAATAATTCAATCGCAATAAAAAAACGTGTAAAAATACATTTTAAAACAGCATGTTATTTTCAAAGAATCTATTTTTGTTTATAGCCTAATTTCATAATATTTGACAAACGGAAATTCTAAATTTTATAAACATTTTGATTGAAACAATGTTATTGTTTTGACTTTAAGAATATTTTCAAAATTTTAAACTATTTATCAACATATTTATAACATAGCAAATTTATAACATTTTATAAATACAAATATTTTTATTTACAACATAATTCAAAATGTTATTAATCAATTTTAACCAAAAATGGAATTTGTTATTGGAGTTAAATCTATAAATTTATATTTCTTTATGGGTATTTAATTTAAACTTATTTAATTAAACCTTCATTATGAGTAAATTTAAAAATTAGATTTCGTACACGTCAAATATTATAATTTATGTCGTACATGACAACATTTAAGGAGTTTTATGAAAAATTTTGAAGAATTTTTTTTTATTAAATTTAAACAGCAGTTATAATTTATTTAAACAGCCAAATAAATTAATCAAATTAATGATAATAAATACGCATCAAATAAACACTGATAATATATACATTAACAATTTTTATAGTGTGATAATATAATATTCGAATCTATTTTGAACTACTATTGGAAACTTTAAATTTAAACAATTTGCATTTAACTTTGAAAAACGTTTCCAAAACTTCTCAATTATGAATTCAGTGCAAAACTTCCAATATTATTTAATTAGTTGATAAAGGTCAGATAAAAATTACTAATAACTGATAAGGATATTCATGTATTATAATAACGAATATTTTGATACAAATAAATTAATAAATGTTGAGTAATTACTGTAGAATATGAATATTATCATTTGAGTTTAAATTATGGAATAGTTAATATTATAAGAATTGTACTTCAAATGAATATCAATCATGGTCATGGCCAATAAATTAACTTATGGTATATTAATGAATGAAAAATGAAAAGAAATATTTAAGAACATCAACTTCTTAGTTATAAATTCAATGCAAAACTTCCAATATTATTTAATTAGTTGATAAAGGTCAGATAAAAATGACTAATAACTGATAATCTTATCATGTCATGTATAATAATAATGAAAAAATTTATCAATGGTTCAAATAAATTACTAATTGTAAGTGCTGACATAATTACTAAGGAATTTGAATATTATCATTTAGCACAAAATTAAGAAATATTATGAATAAAGTTTTAATTTTTTTTATTAAATTTGTATGTAGCAATCAGAATAAAGTGTTTCTATGAGCTACAGTGAGAACATAATCTATACAAATCTATAATGTAAAGTAGAAGAAAAAAAAATAAATAAATAACTAACTATAATAATAATAATAACAAATAAAAAGTTTTAAATGAATTCCAAATATGGTTTTAATGAATAAATTAAAAATGGTATATACAAATTTTATATAAATCATAAATGGTTAAATATGGTAAATAAAAATGTGAAATAAATAATAAATGTTTAAACATGGTTAATAAAAATGTTAAATAAATAATAAATGTAGTTAAACATGGTAAAAAAATGTTAAATAAATACATGGTAAAATAAATAAATATAAATAAATAAATAAATAAATGGTAAATGGTTAAAATAGTAAATAAAAATGTTAACCAAAAAGTAAATAAAAGAGTAAATTCAATTCTGTATAAAGAACATGAATCATGATTATTATCATGGAATAATTAGAAAACATTATTTGAGGATCCAGAGTATTCAATAAATTATAATCTTCATAAAGATAATAATTGTACAATAATTATAAAATTGAACTTTGAAAAATATACTATTGCTGTTATAATAATTAAAAAAATATTTAATAAATCATAATTAATTTAGAGTATTTGAAATCATTATTGAAATACTCTGAAATCTTCATTTGAGGATCCAAAATACCCTTTCCCAACCCAATCTGTATAAAGATAATCATTGTAAAATAAATATAAAAATACATCTTACAAAATATAGTATTGATGTTATAGTCATGTGTAATTAGTAGTTAAGAACATATATTTTAAATAATTTTTAATAATTTTAAATAAAATGTTATTCAAATTATATATAAATAACTAATTTATATGAAATATTTCGGATTTGTAATTAGAAGACCAGAATACGCCATATATTGAAATATTCTCAAATTATTGTAAGAAATCGCTTTTTCTTAAAATTTCAATAATTTTCGATTTTTTTTTTTGAAAATTTGATTTTTATTTTTTGAAAATGATGAAACATTTCGAAAAATTGAGTTTTTTGAAACTATTTTTTTTTTTGAAAATTTAAAATTTTGTTTGAAATTTTTTTTTGAATAATGCCAGTATCTACGAAGCGACTAGACCTGCATGTGCCAAAAACTAATCAGCACGTCTCCTTATCAATACGAATCGAATGTTTTTTGAATAATTGAAATCGGTTGAACCATGTTCCCGAAATCGTCGACGAAAATTTGTACACACACACACCCACATACACACATACATCCATTTTTTCTAATGTATGCCAAAATGTTCAGAAACCTCTGAAACGTAAAGATATATAAAAATATTCATTTTCGACTTTTTTGCGATTACTATAACTTACCCTACGGGAAGTTAAAAATATTTAAAGAAATAATGTCATTGAATTTATATATAAAAAAACCTTATTTCCCATGTGGAATATTTCAGATTCCTTGAGAATCCAAAGAATATGAACACGGGGTATTCTAATATTGTCTAAGATCCCAGAGTACCCAGTAATTGTATAGTTTATAAAGATACTCCTTTGTAAAATGTTTAAATACATTCTACAATATACGAGGTGTGTTCAAAAAGTACCCGGAATTACTAATAATTAAATTTCGCGGGTCTGGAGTGTCTGATTGTCAAATTTTTTTTTTATTGTGTTGGTATACATGCCCCTAAAGTATGATGAAATTTTCAGCTATATTCACTGTTTACTTTGTCTGTGGTAGTCGCTAAGGTTCGACGTGTTTTTCTGAGCTCGGCGATTTTTACAATGGAAGAATTGAAAAGTCAAAGAATTTGTATTAAATTTTGCGTAAAAAATGAAATAAAGTGTTGCAAAGTGCAAAAATTCACCAGATATGGCTCCGTGTGACTTTTTCCTATTCCCAAAGTTGAAGAGACCCATGAAAGGACGGCGGTTTTCCTCGATTGAAGAAAATCGCTGAGAGTGCTCAAGGACATATCAAAAAGTGAATATCAAGGGTGCTTCGAAAATTGGAAAAAACGCTGGCATAAATGTATTATATCTGGGGGGGGACTACTTTGAAGGGGACCACATTAATGTAGACGAATAATTAAATATTTTTTTGAAAAAACGAAAATTCCGGGTACTTTTTGAACAGACCTCGTATACCATCGTTGTCATAGTAATGTGGAATGTTCCATCAAGAATAAATATTTAAAGAAATAAAATGTTATTCAATTTATATATAAAAAAAATATTTCATATATGGAATATTTTAGATTCCTCATTCGAGGATTTAGTGTACCCCATATATTGCATTGTTTATAAAGATAAATATTACAATTCACTTCACATTATATACTAATGATGTCATAGTAATGTGTAAAGACAAGTCAAGTATAAACATTTAAAAAAAATCTCAACTTACGGCTCTCGTAAAAGCGGAGCAATTTTGTAAATGGCCTCAAGAAACGTCTCATCTTTGCACCATATTTTAGGCGTTCCCGGTTGTGTATTTACATTTAAAATTCTAAATAAAATGCACAAAATCACAGCAATAACCGCTAAAAGAGCCGGAGACATCACGCTCACACAAAAACACCGTCCGTTCTGTTCGCATCACTGATTCATACTGACTTACGGAAAATATTAACAGGCGTCCGATTGTGTTATTTTACTACACACTAGATATGAAATGGAAATTATTTTTCTGATGACTGAATTATAAAAATATTATAGTAATTTTTGAAAATACATTGAGTGTTCAATTCTTGGAAGAAATTTTAACAGTTGTGCATTTTTTGGCAATCTGACAGAACTGACAAATTAAAATGATTTTACAGGTTAGGTTTGTATGGGGAGAACTTTTAGGCGTATATCTATTTGACAGTTGTCGATATATCGAACAACGAATTTAAAATCATCGATAATATGAAATTACTAACTAGTCGTGTATGGCATCGTGCCTTAAGGCAAATTGCTGGAACTTTCCGTACCAAAAATTTAAATTAAATTAAAAAAAGATTAAATATGTTTTAAACTTTGAAAAAATTAGATTTTTGAGAAATTTTTAATTTTTGAAAAAAAAAATTACTTTTTTGGCAAAAAACTTTTGGAAAAGAATGTTTTTTTTAGTTTGAAATATTTTGAAAATTTTGAACTTTTTTTGAAAGCAATCGCACTGCTTTAACTGCATAGAGACGCAATATCAAAGCGCGTAAGCGCCGCGTCACCGTCTAACGCACAAACGATGTTACGAAACCCACAGAAATGTAAACAAAATTGATATACACATTATTAAAATCTCCATAAAATGTCTAATAATTAGATGTGCATATGTCTAATGATCACTTTTGACCTCAAAATGACAATGTTTTTTACTTTTTTTACTAGATCTCCGAAACCGCTAGACCTGCCTTTCCAAAAATTTGATCAGTTCTTCATCTTGTCCATACAAGTAAAATGTTTTTTGAATTATTAAAATCGGACGCTCCGTTCTCTTAGTTACCGTTTTTGGCACTTTTTGCCCCGTTTCTTCGAAACGTCTAGACCTGCCTATGCCAAAAACTAATCAGCACGTCTCCTTATTAATAGGAATCGAATGTTTTTTGAATAATTGATATCGGCTGAACTGTGTTCCCGAAATCGTCAACAAAAATTTGTATCCGCACAACGCACATACGCACATACACACATACATCCATTTTTTTCTAAGGTATGCCAAAATTTTCAGAAACCTCTGAAACAAAGATATATAAAAATTTTCATTTTAGTTTGCGATTACTATAAGCTACATACCCTACGGAAAGTTAATAATCCATTAAAAACTATTTAAAACAAATTATACTAATCATTATTATATTTAACTAAAATTTACCATGAACTGATCACTAAGCGTAAGTGGCTTTTTGCCTCAAGGCTGTGGTTCCCAATCCGCGTTCTTCGCTCCCTTGCAATTACCAAGTTAATTAATTACAAGTTGTTTGATGATCATTTTTGACCTCAAAATAGCTTTTTTTACTAAATCTCCGAAACCGCTAGACCTGTCGTTCCAAAAATGTAATCAGTTCTTCATCTTGTCCATACAAGTAAAATGTTTTTTGAATTATTAAAATCGGACGCTCCGTTCTCTTAAAAACTGAGTTACCGTTTTTGGCACTTTTTGCCCCGTATCTTCGAAACGGCTAGACCTGCCAATGATAAATCAGCACGTCTCTTTATCAATACAAATCGAATGTTTTTTGAATAATTGAAATCGGCTGAACTGTGTTCCCGAAATCGTCAACAAAAATTTGTATCCGCACACACACACATACATCCATTTTTTCTGAAGTATGCCAATATGTTCAGAAACCTCTCAAACGTAAAAATACATAAAAAAAAATATTTTCGATTTTTTTGCGATTACTATAACTTTGCACTACGGGAAGTTAATAATCGATTACAAATTATTTAAAACGAATTATATTAATTACATTAATCACATTATTATTAATTACAGTAAGTGGCATTTTGCCATAAGGCCGTGGCTCCCGATTGGTGTTCTTCGCTCCTTTGCAATTACCAAGTTAATTAATCACAAGTTATTTAAAACGAATTATATTATATTTAACTAAACGATACTATTGTGGTTAAAAAAAGAGATGAACTATAAACTGAACAAACTAGGCGTTAGTGGCCTTGTTGCCTTAAGGCTGTGGTTTGCAATCCGTGTTTCTTGATCACTTTGCAAGGCTCCCAAAATATTCGTATTACAAATAAATTGGAACGATATTAAAAAATGGGCGAAAATATTAAGTTTATATTCATATTGTTACATTAGACTGCATATTAATTTGTAGTCTTATAGTATCAGTTAAGTTTATGAAATGAAATTGTTAAAAAAATTAGTAGAGCACCGAATTTTTTCTCACACATACAAATCAATCACAATTTCGGGCTCAATCGATTCAGATTCACTAGAAATGACGAAAAAACATAAAACTAGAAAGCCAGATTTTCTGGTGAAAACATAGTCTTAACTGTCAGGAAGTTAAAAATCCAAAAAATAATAATTTAGAATTTTTACCTTAAGTAGTTGAACGATCAGCTTTCCGACTACTGAAAATCACATAATACGAATTTAAATAGTTATTAATATATTAATAACTTATTACTTTAACTTTTACGCAATAACTTAATTTTTTGACTTCTTAAAAAATAGAATAAAGTTAATTTTTTTAAATGTTTTAAATTTTGCAGTTTATAAAATTAAGTATAGATGTAAAAATGTAATGCCAGTATTCAAATTATAAAATAATATTTACTTTTAACAGTAACATGCTAAAAACCTAATTTTGAATAACAAATATATTTTGCTAATTTCGCTAGAGAATATTGTTATTATTAATTATTATGATAGTTCATTGATGTTTAGTTTAAAATTAAATTAGCCGATAGCCGCGACTACATTTTTCTAAATCTTATGCATTTTGTTTTAAATAGTATTATAATGGTCCAACATTCTAATACAATTAATAAGATAACTTTGATGAAAAAAAAAAGAATAAATAGTCTATATACATATTTATTCATTATCATATCTCAAACAATATACTTAATAATTATTAATTTAAATATTATCTATTTTTCCTGAAACAAAAACCACAAAAAATTACTTAAGAATCAATATTGTAAAAAATTGTAAGATTGTAATATAAGTGAATACTACCTTTTGTTTATTTTTGCTATTCTTAACGCCTGTGCGACCTCTTACCACGACTTCTTGATCTCGACCTGCGCGAAGACCTCGATCTCGACCTACTCCTGTGCCTCTTGTATGAACTGTCTCGGTCCCGATCCCGTGATCTGCTGCGACGTTTTCTATCTCGAGAATAAGATCTTGAACGTGATCTATGACGATGGGTATCTCTAGAGCGAGATCTATGCCGTCTCAGACTGGACCTAGAACTCCTTGCGCGCCCTCGGGAATAAGAACTCTCAACCGATCGTGAACGATGATCTCTATCATGTTTTCTGTCTCTAGATCTCGACCGCTCTTTTACCGGTTTGTACCTACTACTCTCCCGAGATCTCGACCTTCTATCATATGAAAGAGATCTGCTGTCTCGAACAGATCTTTTTGCTTTCTCATTCTTTTTCATTTTCGCATAATCTTTACTTTCTTTCATACTCATTATATCATAATCTTTATCAGATACTCTTTTATCTCTACTTTTACTGCTTTTTTTAGTGGAAGACCTTCTGTTTCTCTCTGGACTTGCTGATTTTTGTGATTTTTTTCGGCAAAGATTTGTTCTTTTTTCTCGTGAACTGTGGTTTGATGATTCAGAAGTCTCTGATGTCCGAGTTCTAGAACTATTGGAATCAGAATCTGTATCTGAATCTATGTCAGATTCACTACTACTTCGAGAAGACTGTGATTTTTCAGATCTAGATTTCTTTCTAGATTCAGATTTTTTCTCGACTTGGACATTTTGTTCAATCTTTGGCACATCACTTTTGTTTCGATTGAGAGTATTTTGATGAGTATTTGAAACTGATGATTTTGCATCTGCTGGATACAATGGTAATTATGTAAGTTTTGGCTAATAAAATACCGAATTAAGCAAAAGAGACTAAAGAGTTTATTTAAGAGTATTACAAGCCGCATTATTAAAAAAAAAACACATTCACATGAAAAAAAATAGCCTGACTCTACATTTAATGCTGCATATAAGTAAATTTAAAATATTGCCAATTTATTTCTTCGAATACCCAAGGACATTAATCTTTCTTTGTGGATCACCATTATTAATAATTGATAAGATTGCTTAAATGAACAAATGTTGTATAAAACTATGTGAATATAAGATTGTACTATAAAACAAGTTTAATATTATTTGTTTAAATGTTAAGATTATAGTAGAATAAAGTTAATATAATTTACATTGTAATTAATTATTAATTTTATAAAAAAAGAATCAACTTTATAAAACTTCAATAGAAAATTTGGAATTAATTTAATAATAATAAGTAAAGATCCATTTTCAAAGGTTTGGAGAGAATATTATTCCATAATTTGTTAGACAAAACAAAATTATCAACACCTATAATATCAAAATGCATTAATTTACAAATTTATAAATATAATACATACCATCTGGATTCCTATAATATTTCTCACCATCACCACGACCTGATTTAATCTCTGGCTCTGCATTCCTATCAGACTCCTTCAGTTCTCTAGATGTGGATGCCCTAGTCTTTTTCATGCCGTCTTCTTCTGCTTGTAGTTTTGCTTCTATTTCTCTTGATGTCTTCTCAAACTCTGATCGTTTTTGCCGAATCGCTCTCTAAAATAATATTGCTTCTTAAGATACATTTACAGAATAAATGATAAATGAACGCAAACAATTTTTTTTTAATCTTTGCCAGATCATTGTAATATATAATATTGAAGATAATATACAAAAATGTTTAAAATTTGAATTGATAAAAACATAACTTTAATTTGAATGAAATACATTAATTAAAATAAATTATTTAAATGGTTATAAATTAAATGTTAGATAAAAAAATAGAATAGAAAACAAAGTGAGCTAATAATTTTAAGAAAAATTTAGAACACCGAACCAAATAGACTCTAAAATGCATAAAATTCATTACTGTATTATTGAAATGCATATTCATTGCATTTATATAAATGTGCTACGTTTTGTATGCTCAAAATTAATCTCAATGTAATCATGAAATGAATAATAATATGCAATATCAATTTGATATGCATTAATATAATTAAACACATTGCCATCAGTCATTTTGTTATTATGACTATTCTTTTTAAAATTAATTTAACAATACTCATATAAAAAAATTTGAACTAAAATAGAAGCTTATAAATCTAAATTAACATTCAATTCAATTAAAGAGAAAATCAAAGTAATTTCTGATTATTTGTAACATACCTCAAGCTCTAGATCTGAGTCTTTATTATTATCTTTACTACCATCTGGAGAATCGTCATTATCAGAATTATCTGACTCTGAACCACTCGATTCACCATAAATGCCAAGTCCTAATATCATATAGATATATTAAACCAAATATTAAATGCTGCATAATCAAAATCAGAAACCAAAATAATGTTCTATATAAAATTATAGTTCTTACCTAATCCACCCGTAATGGATGTTAAAGCATTCGTCTTGCGTAGAGTTTGTGCTGAAGTTTAAAGAAACAGTTGTGACTTGAAAAAATTCCAAATACGTAATGACTAATACCTTGAAAATTATTTTCTGAAATCTCATATAATTAGTTTCAGAAATAATTATATTTAAAGAGCCACTGAGCTCATGGAATTAAACCAAAAACACAATTCACAAGAAATTAAATTTGAAATAATGACCTATTCTATTTGCACCTTTAATTAAAATACAAAGAGACATTACAAAAAGATTTTTTCCAATGTGAAAGTCAATTGATGAAAACATAATAACAATGTATAATAAGCTTTCAATACCTGAATTTTTAAAACGGTTTATAGTATCACGACTTATTGCTAAAATTTCATCATTTGTCACATCAAGTAGAATTTCTGTAAGAGTCTGGCGCACACATAACATCTGAAAAGATAAATAAATTTATATTATAAGTTAATTCAATGGCACATTTGACTAGTAAATACAACATTTTTTGCATCAATATGTAGCCTGAGTAAATCATTTATCTTCTGAAGAAACAAAATTAATTTCATAAAGGTATTAGTGATTACATTCTAAGTATTTAAAATCTGAAAGCTAACATTAGAGGCAAAGATAATGCATATGAATTTCCAAAAATTATTTTAATATCATATTACACTTCATTTGATTTTAATCTACATATTCTACAAAAAAAAATAGCTAATATAAAAACATACCACATCCTGTAACCTCTCCTCCTTAGTCCTGAATTGTGATATAATAGGTGGTGGTTCAACTTTAGTCACTTTTTTATATTTTGGAACTTCTTGCTCTTCATCATGCGTAGATTTGCCATTAATGTCTTCTTCGTCTGTATCCGAGTCCTAGAAAATTCATTAAATGAATTTAGATTAGTTAATATTATCAAATAAAATATTACAAATGTATATACATATATATTTAGATATTTAAATAAACAATATCAATTGTAGTAACAAAATCTAAAAACTGTTTTATTAATAACTTTGTAATCTGGACTTGCAATCAAGATTAAAAATTAGATATCAATATCCATTTCTCTCACACATATAAATAAATACATATATAAAAGATATACTTGATATTGAATATTTAGGAAATATTCAAAAATATTGAATGTAATTAGATGTATAACAAGTATATTTAATTTAAATGAATGAGAGAACTAAATATAGAATCAACAATTTAGAAGTATTGTATTCTTCTTGTATCTACTCTAAAAATTTAGGCACAAAGTATCTTCAAATTTAACATGCATTAACTCTAATTTAGTAAGTTGTATCTTTTGCAAATTGAATTTTAATTCATCATGTTCATTTATAATATAAACATACAAATTTGCTCCGTATTACACCAGTGGAATTTTCTTGCTGTAGTTCTTTGAAAGCTTGCTCCTCGGCAAGTCTTTTTTGTTCTAACATAATTCTTCTTTGTTCTAAGTCTTGTTCCTTTTCCATTTGCTTCTGCTTTTCTCTTTCCATTTTCTCAAGACCTTGTCTGTGAAAGATTTATAGATTTTTTATTTAATTTTCTTTATTAGCACTACTTCAAAAGTGTTACAACAAGTATATTCATCAGACTGTGTATAACATTAGTTATAAATACAATGTACTGACAAATAAACAAAGATCACAATGGGCAGTTGAAATAGCCATAATTAAAATATACATCTATTTATACCAACAAACATATGGCATACTTTATATTATACTCTTGCTTAATGTCTATCTGATAATATATATGGGAACATTTATTTTCAAACCTTATCCATGCTGGAAGTTGTTTCCTCTTAGCTGCATCCAAAGTAATCCCAGCGTCAGGAAACCCTTGTTGAGGCTGAACATATTCCTCCTTATAACTTGATTTCTCTTTAGTTGATTGTTCAGGAATCGTCCAATATTCTTTCAGGGGTTGCACAGCCGGATATGCTGGTGGAATACTTGGAGGAAATGTACTAAATGTAGAATTTGGTAAAGCAGGCTCTTCTTTTGGAATACTTTCAATGTTAGAAATAATAGGAGGTGGTGGTGCCGTGATGTTTACTGAATTATTCCAATTCCAATTATTGCCGGCCGCTGCTGGGGGCCATGCTGGCTGTGAAACACCTCCAGGGTAATTCCAAGCAGTACTGTTCCATGCAGGAGCAGGAGGTGGTCGTATATTAATCGGAGTAATGTTGGGCGGTGGCGGAGCCGTAAGGGGCATGGAAGACTCTGCCGGGCTCGTTTCTTTCATTTGGATCCATTGCTGCGCTAAAGCCGCCCAGTCCACTTGGTCGGCTGATACATTGTCGTAAGCCGAGGCGTTCAGAGCCCATTTTGTGGGGTGACGCAGTGAATTTTGGCCCGTATACATTTCTAGTAATTAAGTTTTTGATTTCACTATTTATATGACGTTAAACTGACAGATAAATAATCTACACAAATAGCGAAAATGCATGGATTTAATTTGTGCCATTAACATAGACTCATTTATTTTTAGTTTTTATTTGATAAGCTTTGTTTAAAACGTGTCGCTTGAATTTTCCGCATTCAAGACAATATTACCGTAAAAATATGTTTACTTCGTTCAATGACTTAAATTAAAAACAATTGACAACACAATTCTTAAATAAGCCATTCTTAATATAGAATTATATGCGGAATGAAGTGAAAGCCGCATGAATCAAATTTATTACTTTTAAGGTGCCTACATTGTTAGCGCGTAAACCGTTTCAATTCAAAATTTTAAACTATGGGAGTGCATGTCACCTTAAGGCAAATTTCTGGAACTTCTCGTACAAAAATCTTGGTACAGAACTCAAAAAAATTACACAAAATGTGTACACTATTGAAATCTCTATAAAATATCTGTTAATTTTATGTACATATTTCCAATAAACATGTTTGACCGCCAAATGACATATTTTCAACTTGATTTTACTGAGAGTCCATAACCGCTGGACCTGCCTTCTCAAAAAATTAATCAGTTTTTTTATCTTATCAATACAAGTAAAATGTTTTTTGGATTATTAAAATCGGACGCTCCGTTCTCTTAAAAACTGAGTTACCGTTTTTGACACTTTTTGCCCCGTATCTTCGGAACGGCTAGACCTACATTTGCCAAAAACTAATTGGCACGTCTCATTATCAATACAAATCGAATGTTTTTTGAATTATTCAAATCGGTTGATCGGTGTTCCCGAAATCGTCGTCAAAACTTGTATCCGCACACACACACCACATACATACATCCATTTTTTCCAAGGTATGCCAAAATATTCAAAAACCTTTGAAACGTAAAGATATATAAAAATTTTCATTTTCAATTATGCGATTACTAACTTACCCTACGGGAGTTAACAATAACTTTTCGTGAGAACGTTTGAACACTCGTTTAAGAAAAATATGATAAATGATAAATGAATTAATATTAAGGGAATTTTATTTAGAAATTAAAGTATTTATTAAACTTTTATTGAAAAATAAAATTTGCTGATATATCTGCAGTAAATATACTTGGTAACTCACTTTTGGCCTCTAAGATGCTTCAGCAAAGACTAATAGGATTCTTCTGATTTTTGTTGTAATAGTAATTGATTGATTTATTATAAATATACCTTTAATTACTTTTCTTAAAATATTTTACTTACCAAAAATTGACTACGATAAAGTTTGTCAAAATTTCATGTTAACACATTGAAAACTTTAAACTTTTAAACCATACTTCAGTGAATTAAATACATTTTAATCAAGCATGCTGAATAAAACAATATATATAGTATAATTATTTTGTTACACATATTTTTTGAAAATTTAATTAATAACAATTTTAGAAAAAGAATATCAAAGCCATAAATAAAATATGGATAAATTAGAACGTCAAAAGATAAACATATTTTCAGAAGTTACAACGTATAACGCTGATTTCGGCCCGCCAGCACATATGTGTCGAGTAGAACCAGCAAATAAACCGAAATCAATTCCAATAACAACTAAAGTAGCTCCTGAAAAGCAACAAGAATTTAGAGATATTGAAACTTTTTATAAATTCGATTCAAAACATTATGTACCGTTTGATTTACTCTGGGAGCCTAAAGATATTATTGGGACGCACCCGACAGAAACATTTGAAAACCCGGTAAACTAATAAAAATACATAGTTGATCAATCAATGATAATAGTCCAGTCATTATAGTAAGATATTCAGTTGTAATTCTGTAAATACTTGTATATTGACACCCTAAAGTTGTCTCAAAACCTACATATATGTACGGAGATACAGCTGGGTATCTCGAATTCCGAGATTCTTACCTAATTTAAGCTTAAATGACTGAACTAAATACTTGTATATTGACACCCTAAAAATGTCTCAAAACCTACATATATGTACGGAGATACAGCTGGGTATCTCGAATTCAGAGATTCTTACCTAATTTAAGCTTGACTGAACTATAATATAGTATTGGTCAAATAGTTTGTATAATAATTATTATTTAATTACATTTATTAATAAATGCTTATACTGTTAGCATTCACCATAATCGTCGACCATACAAACATTGCCACACTTAATAATTATTTCATTTAGATATATTAAATATAAGTATTTATTATTTGCAGTATTCTGCCAAAGGTGAAAAAGATTTCGATAGCTCCACAGCTAAAAGGTCTCATACAGTACTAGTTCCTGCAATTCCATTAGATGATTTGGATCCTGAAAAGAGAAAAATTGTTGTTGACGATATGTACCAATCGAAGTGGATCACACCAGGAGCACCAGAATTGCTAGAAGATGAAGGTTACCGCTGCAGGCAAAGATATCAGCAAGAAATAAACAGCTGCTTGGAACCACCAGGAGACATGGTTCGAAATATAGATAATTATTACATATAAATTATATGAGATCATGGTTCAAATGATTTTTAATAGTTTAGAAAAAAGGTGCAACTAAATGCACCCCTTCAACTTGGTTGGCACAGATTTGCTCAAAATTGGGATGCACTACAAACAAGAGCTTCGGTAGATTCTACCAGACAATTTTGGCTAAAAAAGGACCCACCAGTCAAGTAATATCATTTTTAATATAAATTTATTTGTAAAAATATAGAATAACATATTAAGAGTTAAATAATTAAAATTTATAAACGTGAATAAGAATAAATTTTGATAAATTTGAATTTATGATGAATTTCAAATAGGTGTGGTGTTGAAGTATTAGGTCCATTGAAAGACCCTGAAAGAACAAATAAGATTAATGAACTTATTCGAACTAATTCTCTTCGTGGAGCATATGATCTTCTTCCTCCTGGTTTGTATATACTTAACTATAAATTATTTTATGAATAATATAAAACAACATTTTAAACATATTGTTTTTTGCACCGCGTAGTTGTAGATGCTCTTTAATTTTGCTCAAGATTCAAATTACTTGCAAGATAAATATTTATAAATTAAAGAGCATTCCAGTAACAACTATAAATACTTCAATATTTATTATATTCGATATTTTTTTCATTTTTTTAAAGGCTATCAAGGCCATAGGCCTTCGTTGGCCACCGGCCCCTTAGAGAAAAAAAAGTTCTCGGACTATGAGCAGTTTATTACGACAACGGAACTTATGTACAGGTAATTAATTATTAATATACATTTTATATATACTCTTAATATATTAATATTATTAATAACTTCTCATAATTTAAACCTAACTAAGATTGGAGTTGGTAGTTGGTATGATAAATTTGTTGAATCGAAATCAAGTTTTCAGATGAAAATATTATTTATTAATTATTAATTATTTACTAATGTATTTGATTATTATCAATATATTAGATTATTTATTAATATATTTATACGTATCGATACTTTAAAGTATAATAATTTAATTGCAACGTTCATGCTTACTTTACTCTATATTCTCAAAAAAAAAAAATACAATAAGAAAAATACTAGAAAAAATTTAAAACTTTTTAGTAATTTATGGAAATTATATATCATTAATAATATAGTTATATGTAATAACTTAAGTTATTTATAATTATATATTTGATATATGCGTCTAATATATTACATTATAAATTAAACCTATATTTAGCAATTACTTTATGTATTTTAATAACAAAAATATCTATTTTCTTATTTTTAGGGACAGTGAATCGCGTTTTGCTAAAAAAGTGTATGGGAAGTAAAAAATTGGCCTTTGTAAATAAAATTGCTATATCCGATTATATGTTTTATTATTAAGCATTTTATAAACAAACACTCACGCATATGCAAAATCAATATCATAAAGATTAATTAAGTGTTCAACTTTTGAATTTTACTTAAAGTAATATAAGTATATATAAAATAGTCTTTGTACAATGAATCACATTTTACCATATTACAGCCAGAATAAAGTCGAATTTAAACTTATATTACATTTTTATTACTAGCAATATTAATAAGCATTTCAATTTAGCAAAATCTAAGTTTAAGTAGTTCAAAAAGTCTTGCCAACAATTTTTTTATGTCAGAAAATGTTATCAGAGTAGAATGTTATTTTTAACTGTTTTCGTAGAAATAAATGTCTTTTGGAAAAAATATTAAAAATTCAAATATACTTAAGGTCAAACAAAAAATATCAATTGTTTCACCACTAATTTAGGAACATAAAAGTCTAAAGACTACTTTTCATTTTTATATACTCAAAATTTCGTATAATTGCCAAAATATCAATTTTTAATTTATAAATATAAATTAAAAATTTCAAACTTGGCAATCATAGAATATATATAACTTTACTAATAAATGATCAGCCTTGAAAATCAAACTATACTATATCAAATATACTTAATTAAAATGCAGATATATAGAAATCATTATACTAGTTCAAGAAGCCCAATCTGAGTTTAACAGATCAAAAATGCAATTAGCCTTAAATATATTAGAAAAGAATTCAATGACAAGCAAAAAATTATCAATGCAAAGCATAAGATTTTTTATTGATTTATTTTATATAAGCAAAATATTAATAATTTGGTAACAATCAGATAAAATATACTATTTTATAGATAAAATTTTTCTAAAACATAATATGAGTTATAAAATATTTGTAAAATGTATATATGCAATATATATTTGCGGCCGTGCCTGACCGTCTAAATTAAAAGTCTCTCGAATTAAAAATCTTTCGAATTGAAAAGAGATCAAATTTAAAGGCTAATATAAAACAAAACTTCGTGGCCTAATTAAAGTACAGCCGAATTAAAATACGGTCGAATTAAGTCTTTGAAACAAAATTAAGAGTGCCTTATTAAAGGCAGCCGAACTAAAAACGTCAGATTATAGTACGCAGGTGACCATAATATATTCAGGCACGGTCTAAAAACATATATATATATATATATATATATATATGCCTTTATGTATTATACATAATTTATAGAACACCCTCCAGCTGCGCCAATACGATAATGTTATAGAAGAGCTAGTAAATCATTTGATATATAGATGTATTTTATTATATATAATCATAATAAAATATCACATAGTTATATAGAATTAAAGTTAATAGTTCTAAATATATATTTTTATATATAATCTTATAAAAAATCTCTATATAAGAACACAGTCATAGGTTATCATGCTGGTTAAGTATATTCAAACGCCATCAGCAAACTCAAAGATTATAAAAATCACAATGCGCATACTCTGTATATCTTAACAAAGATATTTCGCCCATGACAAACAAAATGTTTCTGCCAACTCTTAGTTGCCATCATAAAAATGGAAAACTTTATTAAATATCCCTCGCAAAAAAAAAAAGAATTTAGAAATTAAATATTTCCGTAAATTGTTTGAAAATATAAGGAAACAAAACTTAACAATCGATCATATTCTTGTTTAGAAATTCGTAGATCTAGTTCAAAACACGCTTTGATGTAACAAAATGCTGCAGTAACAAGTGTTGCTCATTAGGTAATAAAATTATCTTACAAAGATCAAGATCCAAAAAGAGACCCCAAACCTATGGCAGCTTTTGCTCGTACAGTAGCATTTTCATCGCTTAAGAGCTGTGCCAATCTGAAGCATGGAGAATCCAATGGCAGTGGAAATATTGAGTAACCATGAAGATAACCTGAAATTCAAAAAGAAGTTTGAAATAAAAGTAGATATTATCTAAACCAATTTTATACCTACAAGAAATAATAAATTTCTAAAACAACTATATAATTTTGAAATTAATACATAATTCAAATTGAATGAAGTTTTACCTATAAAAAGTGCAGCGTTTCCACGAATTTCAGCACAAGAGCATTTCAAGAATGGTAAGGTTGCTTCAGCAAGGCTGCTGACTGAGTTTGGCAATTCATCCACCTATGTTTATAATATATTGCAATATTGATCAGATCAGATAAGTTATCTTACATTATATAATAACATTTTCTATTATAAAATGTAGTTTAAACATACCAAAGTTTTTGTAAGATTCATTATAAAGGCTTCGTAATGTAGTGTGCCTTTGTCAATTAAATGATCTTGTAACATAGTGTTTACTTTCACAGCTCCCAACAAAGGTGCAACTTGCCTTAGAGTATATTTGCAGGTCTAAAATTATAATATATGCATTCATATACGAATGTATTAATAGAAATGTAAATATAAATTTAATGACCTTTACTATACTATCATTTGGTTCAGACAAATGAAGCAGCAATGAAGCCAAATTTGCATTTAATTGCTCTTTAAATGCATCACACCTATCAGCAGCATTTGCTAAAGATAAATCTCCAAATAATCGAATAGCAGCTTCCCTTACAGCAGGATCACTGCTTTCAAGATAAGGGCGTATTCTTACAGAAACTGTTACCTAATAAAAATGTTTTACTTTAATAATAATAAACAGAAATTGCTGATTCAGTACGGTTTGGATTTATTTTAGCTCACCTGAATATCTAAGATCTGGGCCTCACTTGCAACTTTTATTAAACTTGAAATACCGCGCATTGCCTCCAGTGGTATGTTAGTAATATTATTTCTGAAAATGAAGTAACATTTATTAATAATAGTAAAACATTTTTGTAAATCTGCACAAATATGAAATTCTATTCAAAAAAATATGGTTTTCTATGAAAACATTATTTAATTTAGGTATGGTTTTATTAATTATTCATTAAAATAAGAAAATTCAATTCCAATGTATAAAATAAATAATTATACATTTTACTATTATTTTGATTTTATTTAGTATTGTTAAAATTGGCTTTATATGAGAAGATTTTGGCTTTATATATACAATTCAATTTTATTATTATTTGATAATTAATCTTAACTACGCACGCTTTTTCCTCATCATCCAAGCCTTGTATAACAGCCGCCAAAGCAGCAGGAACTTGTCCAGATCTGCTTGGTTGACAAATACCAACTTTTGATAATCCGACAATAACACACTGCCGAACCATAGGACATGGATCAGATACACCACCATGAAGAGTAGTAATTAAGGTGTCTACCAAAACATTGTTAGGAATAACTGGCAATAGCTGTAAATAAAATTAGACATCTTTAAAATCTTTAAACTACAAGTCAATAAGATATAATTTCTCAGTCATTAATTATATCATTTACTAGAGTTGTTTAAAACGTTGAGACAATGTAAATTAATATGTTTTGCCTAAAAATTTATGAAGTATATGGAGTATGTGCTGGAAAAACAAAATGAAATTAATTTTCTTACTGTTAAAAATCATTGATTTTTTTAAAGAAATCCTAAATACTAATTGACAATTATTGTGCCATACATGCAGCATAAAGAAAATATCTTTTTTTTTAACTAGAAAATGATTGGTAAATATAGTAATGAAACAAAATCAATCAAATAAAATTAATCAGATTATTACCTCAGCAAATAATGCAACTGCTGCGAGTCTTTGAGTACTGTTTGCAGATTGAGTATATTTTCCCATGCTCTCAACAATTCTGCTTACTTGTTGAGGTGCATGTTCGACTACTGCATTTGCTAATCCTGGCATTGTTTGAAGAAATGATAAGAGTGAATCACCTTTGTATATTAGAAGAGATTCAGCAATCTAAAAACAAAAGTATAATTATCATATTATTTGATGATTGAATTAAATAGAGATTGGTTAACCATAAAAACGAATTAGTTAGCATTCTAAAACAAATTAGGCTGTTTTTAAAATAAGTATACAATTACCGCATCAAGTTCTATACAAGTCAGCATATTCCTAAAACATTCCATAACCATTTTTGGAGGCGATATTTTGGCTGCATTGCGATTTGGTACATAACCATATTTTTCATTATTAGCAGCCTGACTGTGCATAGGAGGTGCCAAACCGCAGTAAGAAGCTAACATCATCACATGTAAGGAAAATAATTCTGGAAAACGAATTCTGCATAATTCTTTCATTTGAGAGCATTGGAACATGTGCGTCAATGCGTTCACAGCCTGTAAATATAAATATAATATACAAGTTAAAAAAGTGGCATTAACAAGGAAATCGGCGTAGATAAATGAACATTTTAAAGTTACATCATAGTACAAATCTTGATTTAATGAAAAATGCCTGAATCAAAATAATATTTTACCCTTGTTCCTTGAAAATAATAAAACAAATTAAACATTTGGGCCGTGTACTAAACGTAAGTTTATTGATTAAAAATTATTTCTATATTATTCATAGTTTCTATAAATCTTTGAAGTTATTAAAATGGAAAATTTTTAAGCAAGACCGATATTACAGCTGTTCAAAGAATAAGATTATATCGCTAGCGAAAAACTGTAAAAATACAAGCAGTCAATGAATGTATGTTAATTTTAATTACATGAAGTTCTTCAAACACAATTGCATGATGAGTGAAGTTGCAAAACAATATTTGTTTAGGTGTTGTTTAACATAATCTACTGTGTAAACGAATATTAAAGAATTTATTAATCAGCAGTTACTTCATTTCTATAATGAAGTTCATTTCTAAATGCTAATTACAATGACAAACCTAACATGTCACATTTGAAGTATGACCTTTCTTACATTTTTGTTTTTAAATATTATACATATTTTTAATGCTATTATAAATATATAATTTATAATTTATTATTATATAAATGTGTATAATGGTTGACACTAATAAATGTGTGCATCACGAGTGTTACCATGTTACTAATAAATATTATTCAAAATTGTTATACGATGTATTTATTTTTACTTAAATGCCATCTTGTACAGTAGCAAATAAGTTTTACTTCAATCGCGTGTGAACCTTACACTCACTCTTTTTTCATAGGACCATTATGTTTTATTACGTTCATTAAGACCAAGCACTCTATAGCAAAACGTTTTTTTTAGTTAAAAGCGATCATCTACATTTTTATGATTGGCCTAAACAAACAATATCTGCTTTTGACTTACTGAAAGTGGTTGCAGTGCTGCTATTGAAGGTCTGCCAGAATCGTTTGATTGATTGCTAGTTTCTTCATGTAATGAACTTAAAGAAACTAGTTGAATATATTGTTCTAAAGTCTCTGATGCCAGCGCTGGTTCTTGGGCCCACTGTATGAAGCATTCTGCTACAGTACTGTAATAAATAAATTTATTACAATAATAAAGTTTAAGTATAAGAGAATTTTAGTGGTTAGGAATCTTATAGGCCAATAATATGCAGAAACTATAGCAACAAACCATCACCAGTTAGTAGTTTTCTATATATGTTAGAAAGATATAATATTTTACATTTTATTACATATTTAGTAATTGTTAATAGTTAAACTAAGATATTTGATTTTGCAATATTAATGAATAAAAATAAATTTAACTCACTTATCAAAAGGCAATGGTTGTTTTAATATATTTAAAAACACTGCCTTCGGATGATGTACAGCCAAAGCGATTAAAGAATTTACACCACCCAGCTTTGCTTTAGCACAATTACACATTTCAGATACTTGAATGCACAAACCAACAATTGTAGCAACATTGTGATATAATTCATTTCCTTTATTCTTCAAAAAGCATGATAAAATATCTGAAGCACCAAGAGCAGACATACTTTCAGGATCTAATAAAGCTTCTATGATACTTTCCACAAAATTTAATAGCTGATATTGTGGAAGTTTTTGACTTATGATATTGCTTAATTCAATTGTAGTTTGGTTTATTTGGGTGTTATTATTAGATTCTATGTCTTTGCGAAGTTTTTGTAATACCATACATGTATCTTCAATATTATTCTCTGACTGTCCTTCATATCGATTGGATATGCCTAAAACTAATCCAATGCAATGTATTGCAAGTTGTCTAATGCTAGAGTTTGGATCCGTAACCCTAAAATATTAAAAAAGTATTGAAACCAAATAACAAATATAAATATATATATATATATATATATATATATATATAATTTTCATTACAATTTTACTTACCTAGGTGCAATTCGACCAATTATAAAACCTCCTTGTGCAAATTTGCTTGGTGTATCAAACATAATTTTCATTTTTTCAAAATATACTTTTAGCATTCCTTCCAAAGTGTTCATTGCACCAAATCGAATTTCAACATTTTTATTTTTAATATAAACTTCAAGTAAGGCAAAAATATCATCAAATGTACTTGGACAAACTTCTTGTTTCAAAATCTCATTTACTAACACATTCAATCTGTTCAAAGCTTTATTTAAATGATTAGCAAAATGATCATTTTCTTGTTCTTCTTCATAACTATTGAATTTTGTTTTTAGATCACAAGTTGCATTATAAATCTTCTCGAAACACATTCCTAATATTGTAATTCGATCGACTGAAGATATTGCTGGAGGTAGCATTACTAAATCTGTCACTACTTTTAAAATTATTGGATATAGTTCCAAATGCTCCTTGTTTGTGTGACTTTGTAATTTTGTCAAAACACTTTCAATTATGCTTGATCTCGTATTTAAAGCGACGTTAAGTGAGTTTCTATTTGGATGCATAGCTTCTGCAATATTACCAATAACTTCAAGCGCTGCCACATTAATTTTATGTTCTTTAGCAGAAGTTAATTGTGAAACTACCCAAGATAATATTGAATTTTCAATTTGTGGTAATAATTTATCAGATGGAGCCTCCGAAGAAATTTTACCATAACAATACAATAAAGTGAATCTTAAAGTTTCTGTTTCCATTTCATGTTTAGCATCCTTAATCAAATTAAAGAATTTTGATGATTTTCTTGCTAACTCATTATTCTGTATAAACTGAATTTTTTTTAAGATGATATCTAAATGTGATCTGGAGCAAATACCAATGGCTTCAGCACAATACATAGATTCTCCAATAGTATACCTTCTCGGCTCTAACAAAAGAATATCCACTTTTTGTTTCACACACTGAACATCAGTAATAAAACATAGTGTAGTTGCCAGACATTTATATAAAATTTGTTTCTCCCAAGCTTGTGTCGAAACATTATACATTGGCAATTGTTCTGCCATTTTATTACTCAATCCTTCAGTGAACTTTACATCTCCCAAATCTTGAATAGTACTGCTAAGTAAATCTAGTACCAATTCATCCCAAGTAGAAGGATTTAAGTCTTTTTCATTCTTTTCTAAAAACCAAATCATTGCAGTAATTTTATCTTCCCATAAAGGTAACAGCTGTTTACTGATAAACTCACAATAGTTTTTCAAAAATTGTAAAATGTATAATCCCTTCTTATTTTCTAAGGGATTACCTAACATGGCCAAAGAACGACTAAAAATAGCAACTTCTGTAGGTATGCTCAGTGGTGGTTTACTAACATCGAAAACAGCATTGTTTTTCATTTTTAAAGATAAATTAGCTAAACATTTAGCAAGTGTACTCATTGCTGAAGTATATTTGCTATCCAATGTACACTGCAGCAAAGTGGGCCATAAAATTTGCTCTAGTTCTGCAACATTTGTAGTTAATAGATATAAAGAACTATTACAAGCTTTTTGTAATTCTTCAACATCATTATTTTCATTCATTTTTATGTTGCCTGGAGTACAACAATGCTTTACTATAAATTCAATAAACACTTTATCACTCAACAATCTTTTGTGAGCAAAAGCTACTACCGTTTTCAGAAGCATATTCTTCATCTTTGAATTCTGTTCGGTTTGTATCATAACTTTCAAAATATTTGTTAAATCTACAACTTTTGGTTTAACATATACATCAGATGAAATTGTCAAATGTGCCAGAATCATACAAGAACGAATGCGGTCCTTTTCATTATTATTTTTCATATTTTGAATTATCAAATCAAGTATTTTATCTGATGTGGTTATTACTAGTAAATCAAAACATCTCAATATTTCAAAGTGATTTTTAGCCGGTAAATCAAAATCAGGATTGGTGCTAACTTGTTCAAACATTATATCAAATATTGTTTCAATTTGATGGTATAATAAATTCTTATCTATATCCAAAACAATTTGCAACACAACATACAGACATTGTGTAATTACAACTTTTTCCAAGTTCTTTTTGTAAAGACCAAGTAAAAGATTTATGAATTTTGAAAGATACTCTAATATTTTTTCTTTCGGAAGTAGAATGAAAACAGGACCTAAGGCACCTAAAACTTCTTGAGCAACCTTAGGGTCGCGACTGTATAACCATTGATTCAATAATATATCAAATACAATAATTAAGTCAGTATTAAAAATATCTTTTGTGACTGTAGGATCAGGAGCCTTATTGATGTTGGTTAAATATTCCGTTATGGCTTCACAAAATCTTGCTAGGGCTGCAATTAAGAGAAATTCTTAATGCACTCTCATAATGTATTATCAATATTAACTTAGATAAGATGTTTGAAAACAACAAAAATTTGTAATGATTTTTTTATATAGACAAAACATGCACAGGAAGAAAAAAGAATGTGATTTAATTAAAAGCAATAGCATTTCAAACATAATGACAACTTTTAATTGTTGTATATTTTTATATAGATATCTATTAATGAATATATAGAAATTATTACCATAAGCATAGGACTGTCTTAAGTTATCCTGCTTTACGCCACCTAAAAGAGGTATAGTCACCGACATTGTAGGTTTAATGAATGGTACAGTTGCATAAGGATTATGTGATGCTAAAGCACCCATTGTTCTGAGAATCATATAATGTGGCAAAACATTTGGTTTTAATTGATTCAGTAAGCAATCCATCACTTGTATAGAATGGCATTGTCCAAGAGCTACCAAAACTAAAGACGCATTTTCATTTATTTCTTGAGTGGTGTTAGAAGTATTTGTCATTTCAATGACACTGAGCTCAATAGCTTGTAACACGCTATCTCCATCAAGATGCATAGTATGAGTATTGCATACATTTTTAAGTATGCTCATTATTAACCCAACATGAGTGGTATTTAATTTTTTATTTCGCTTGCGATAAGAACATAATGTTTTAACAACTTCATTAGGATATCGTTGAGCTAATTTAAATAATGAATCTGCTATAGCATTTCTTACAACAATCTCCTTATCATTACCAGACTCTAATAAAGTCCCAATGGAAACTAAAAATAATGTTATTTTAAATGTAACATAGGGTTATTAATACATGAGCATAGCCAATTGAAATAGTAAAACAAAGAACAAAAATATAGGATTCATTAAAAAGCGCAGCGGTATTAATAAAATCCTTTTATATTTACCTATAATTTGTGTTCTTAAGTAATATTTACCTATAACTTGAGATTCTTTTTCATTCTGTTCGTATGATTTATCAAAAACACCGTCCATTATAATAGTAAAGTCTAATACAATAATTAATATCCAGATATTAATACGGATTCTATTATTGCAACATCATTGTAAACAGAAACGCATTTAATATTGTTATCAAGTTTGACATTTGTCACGTGGTAATATTTTGATAGCGATTATCCTGAAACCCCTGAATTTGCTGATAGGGTGAAGTTGCTTATGCGGTAAATTGACATATGCATGACATATGTGTCTAGGGTTGGGAAGAATGTGTCAGTTGGTGTCAGTGCCTGTCAAGCGTTTGTTGAAAGCAACCATAGAGAAAAGAAGAGGATAACAAAGAGTGTCTACAATATTCAATAAAAACTCCCCTTGTACTAAACAAATGGCGCCAATTTCAGGTATGGAATCATATGGAATAATAATAATTATGCTAAGTGCTAACAATAAACAACTGTCTATTTAAAAGAAATTTTATCAGCCTTGTCTAACATTTAAAACATCTTTCAACTGTGCCATTTTCTTTACATTTTAGAAATAGAACTACAAATAATAAATTTTTTTTGCGTATTTTCAACAAACTGAATAATATATAAATAATTATTTATTATAAAATTTAGAATAACTTGATGATATTTTGCCTTGAGGCAAGTTGCATGAACTTTCTGATATGGGTAATTAATCGACTTAATCAATAAAAAATAAATTAATTTTTGAGTGATTAAAAGTATTCCGAGTAGATTTATTCGAAGTACAGTAAACCCTCGCTTTACGCGGCAAGTGCGTACCGTGCAGTATAGGAACCGTGCTATAAGAAACTCGTATTTAACATACAATTCAGGCTAATTCGTAGTGCGTTCTATGGAACCTTACATAGTGCAGTATGGGAACCGTGCTATGAGAGACTCAGAGTTGGTACAAATCGCACCATTTTTATCGCGTTGTATGGAGACCAAGAAATACAACTTGAAGTAGGAGAAATACGGACGAAATGATATGTAGGACATTGACACCTTATTCAAAAATTGGCGCGACGCAGTAGTCAGCTCAAACGTGTTCTTAGGCGGCTATTATACAATCAGGCATGTCTAAAAGATAAAAGTCGATAACAAAATTTACATCAATACCCTTTTGCACAACGAACTTATGGGCTGTTGACCAAATACCGTGTAATAAGAAGTCCGTGTAGTCGGAGGGATGTCGGATTTTTAGCTCCGTGTAGTATGGGAACCGTGTACCCAGAGTGCCGTGTAAAGCGAGGGCCTACTGTATTTTCTAAAAGGAAATGTTCACAAATCAATGCTTTTATAATTGAACCAGTTTCCGTAGGACTTTAATGGTTTAGTATGTTTATTAAGAGCAAGTACTCTATCGTTACACTAAGTAAATTGTCTAATTTTAATTTTAACGAACGTCAAAAAAATACTAGCTCATTTTCTCAAACTTTCATGAATTTTTAAACTACATGTAGTAAGACCGCAATATTTCAGTAAGTTTTATAAGACCATGATATATATCGCCAAAAAAAGTTCCATAAAAATCGGCTTAATTTTTTTTTTCAAATGTTAATAACAAGAAAACGGCTCGGTAGATTTTCACCTAAATTTAATTAATATCATTCCCAACTAATAACTTTCGAACAGTTTTTGATGTTTTAAAATTGATTCGGTAGTATGAGCTTAAATGTGAACGAAAAGTTCAAAACTTTTCGGCGATTTACAAAGAAACGGCTTGGCTGATCGTCGCGCAAAATTGATGAACGCTAGTCCTTATCGAGAGACATCAAATAGCTTTCAAATTTTTTAAATCGGTCCAGCCGTTTTTGAGAAAACGTCGATTTAGGGCAAAAAATCTGTTCACATACGCACATACATATACTTTTTCAAATTTGGTCTCATTCGATTCATGATGGCTTGAAACGTCGAGAAAACATAAAATTAACAAATCGGATTTTTTAATGAAAACATAAACTCCTCCTTTAGTTAATGATTATTCATTATCAAAATTAGAAACAAAAAAAAAATAAACATATTATAATTATCACAATTTAATCAGAAATCCTCTTACAAATCATACTTATTTCTACTTCTTTTGTTTACATCCTTAGAAAATAATTCCTCACTATCATTTCTTCTCCGTTTTGATTCATCTCTAATATAACTTTTTCTATAAGTTGATCTTTCTGAAAAATTATGGTGTTTTTCTCTTGAACTTCTGCTATAATAAATCCTATCACTCCTACTGCTTTCACTTGATAAACGTCGTGAAGACCTTTCGCTTCTATATGAGCGCTCTCTAGGTGTACGATCTCTTCTATGTGTTTCAGATCTTTTGTTATTATCATCGTGTTTCTTAGTTGCTGATGGAGGTTCTGGTGATTCGGACCATCTCCAATTCCTTCTGCTGTCGTCATTATCAAATGGATCTTCAAATGTTCTACAAAACAATATTGATTGTATAAAAGAATACCAAAAATGTCTGGTTTAAAGTACTTTTGTACTATATTTTATAATGATTGTTAAAACTTACTCATTATAATTTGTTTCATTTTTGTGGTCACTCAGATTACCGACTCGGTGTAAATCTTTGTCTGCATTTAAAAACAAATTCCCAGGATTTTTATAAACATGTAAAAAATTACATGCTTGACCTTTGTGGCATAATTTTTTGAAAAACATGCCTGCTTATTTAAACAGAAAGAATTAATATTTAAAAATGAAATATTACAACATTAAAAATAACATTAGCTTATAATGTTCTTGCTTAATATTAATACATACCAATAAAGTATGTTCAGAGTTTCCAGATTAAAATATTTCTTTAATATCGAATAGTAAAAGCTTTTATTAAGTTAAGGCAAAATTGTACAACATTTTAAAAAACTCGATTTTTAAAATTCTCTTAACAGTTATTGTTAGTTGCGCCAATTAGTGTCAGATAAGAAACATAAATGAACGCAAACAAAAAAATATTGTCATAAACGTTATTACTACATCCTGTATACTGTTTTATTTTGTTTCAAAGGATACCACTAATATTTTGAACTGCTAACATACCGCATATTGCCTTTTTCCAAGAAGATACGCCACTGAATTCAACATTTAATTGCTTACCGCCATACCATCTGCCCTGAAATTGCCTGTAGGCTTTCAAAGCATCTCTGAAATTAAATATATGCTGAAAATGTAAATATGAATATAAAAAATATTTGGAAAATATTATTACCTTGTTCTTTCATATTCCACATAAACATTTCCTCTGAGATGGGGTTCTGTATTACAGCACACTTTATATTGGACAACTCGTCCAGATTTTTTAAACTCAGCTATTGTATCAAAGAAAAACTCTTTGAAGTGTTCATATGTTTCCTTGTCATCATATTCTAATGCCATATCATTTCCATATTCTGATTGAAAACATTTTTCAATTCCAAAATGAGTATAAAAATTTCTTAACAAGAGAACCTAAATTAAAATCATTAGAAGTCATATGATATAATATATATATATATATATATATATATATATATATATATATATATATTATTGATAATTAAATTACATACTTTGCTGATCCCTGGACTTTGATGATTTCTTGAACAACTATCTCCAAATCTGCACGCACCAATTTTAGTAAAGAATGGGCACAATGGCTTTGATGGATTTGTGTCTTTAGGTGTTTTCAGCTCATCAGGAATTTTACCACCATCTTTTATAAAATCTTCAATTTTTTGCATAAGAATTCTATATCTTTCTTCTTGTTCTTTTTGGATTTTAGCCTTACGTTCACGTTCTTCTTCAATTTTCTTCTGTTGTTCTTCCCATTCCTTAAAAAAGTAATATAAATAAAACTACTTGCGAATGGATTATGCATAGATAGTTTATAAATTAATTAATATTTAACATTACCTTTTTAATTAACTGTTGCTGTTTTTCTTTGAGTTCCCTAGCTGCTTTGAGTTTTTCTTGTAATTCTTTCCATTTTTTCTGTGCCTCCAATTCATTTTCTAGCCATTTTTTGTGCTCTTCGTCTCTAATTCGTTCTTCTTCTTGTTTTTTAAACAATTCTAGTGCCTTTTGTTCAGTCTGCCATACGATATATTTAGGATCCTTTTCTAACAGCGATTGTACTTGAAGAAAAATATATATTAAAATAAGTCATCATATTACTCAAAATCAGAGTTATTCATATTATTATGCAAATTTCATCCTTTCGTTGAATGTAATACTTACATTTTTCTTGCTCTTCATCTCTGGCCTTTGCAAAAGCCTGCCGCAAACGTTTTCTCCTAAACTTTTTTGCAATTTTTCTCCATTCTTTATGTCTAAATAATTTTAAACAAAATTTAATTAGAATTATGTTGTTCAAAATTTGTACATTATAAAAATTGGAGCCAATATACTTTAATTTGGTATTAACATCTGATTGGTCCATGGTTATATGATTAAACACAGTTTCATATCAACAAATAATATTTAATTATAAAAATATTTATTAAGATTTTGCAAATATATTAATAAAGATAAATTTTCACATTTTACAATTTATTTGTTTGTTATACTTTTATAGGTTATGTTATTGACATTGTCAAACTATCAGGCTCAGGATGTGCATGAACCAGAGGTGTGAAACATTTTTTCCAAAGCATAACACAGGGTACAATAAACTAAAAATTTCTAGTAAATTATGGAAGATAATTAACACTATTTTGTTATTTTTAAAGATTAAATATAACAAAAAGTCAAATAATTAAATAGAGTAGACCAGATTTAACTTCCCTTAGGGTAAGTTATAGTAATGAGCCAAAAATCGAAAATGAAATTTTTTGCAAATCTTCACGTTTCAGAAGTTTATCAACATTTTGGCATACCTCAGAAAAAAATGGATATGTGTGTGTATTTTGTGTGTCCGCATTTTTTTGTTCACGTTTTCGGGCGCATGGATCAACCAATTTGAATGGTTCAAATAACATTCGATTCCTATTGATAGGGAGATGTGCTGATTAGTTTCTGGCAAAGGCAGGTCAAACTATTACGGAGATACGGAGCAAAGAGTGCCGAAAATATAAATCGAGTTTATGAGAGAACGGTGCATCCGGTTTGAATGACTCAAAAATATTCAATTTGTAATGATTAGTAACAGTTTTTGGCAGAGACAGGTCCAGCCATTTTGTAGATGCAGAGCTAAATGTACAGAAAATGGTAGTTTTTGAGAGAACTAAGCATCCGATTTGAATGATTTAAAAAACTTTCTGCTTGTTTTGATAAAACAATTGCTTTTGAAAAAAAATTCTTTTTTTTTGTCAAAAAAGATATTTTTTATATACGGAAAATAATTCAGATTTTAATTTTAATACTGGCTAAAGTTCTAAAGCTCACTTATATACTTTAAATAAATAAGTTTTACTTTTCAATTCAGTTTATATAATTCTTATAAATATTAGACAATGTTAAAATATTTATAATAATCTATTTGAAAACATTTAATATTTCTCAAACATTTTGTTACGGTACGGGAAGTACCAGCAATTTGCCTTAAGGTACGATGCAATACACCACTAGTTTTAACATAAGTTTCTTACAAAACCATACTAAAATTAATATCTCTTGTTTTTCTTTTCGAATATTAACTAAAGTTGCATTTTACTTGTAAATTTTTAGGATATTTCATAAATAAAATTTTACAGTAACATATTAACATCATGAAAACACAGAGTCAACGTTGGGTATGTCAATTGATATATTATTTTGTGCAATTATTACAATCTATGCAGTATATTTAATAATTTATATAATAAATCACGCTAACAATTGTTCAAAATATAATTAAGATAAAAACATTTTATTATACATAAACATTATTCAATAAATATTGTTGGTTTAAAATTAATTTAAAAGCTATTTAAACCAGGTGTATTAATCTGACCGTTATAAAAATATGTTAATAAAAATTTGATATTGACTAAATTTACTGAGCAAATTACAACTTAATTTCAATTGGAGCATTTTGACCACATGCGATATCAATGATTTTTTTTCCGAAATTTTATGTACAGTTTTAAGTACTATCTGAAATAAATAAAATGAATTAATAATTGTGAAACAAATTCACAAATATAAATTCAATCTTACTTCTTGGTGGTTCAACGATGCATTTCACAGGAAATGAGAACTGAAAAAGTATTATTAAATATGTGGATCCAGCACCAGCTATCTGCATAATTAAAAAAAATTAAAAATGATAAATTAATGATAAAATTTATTTTAAAATTTAAGTGATATTGACCCTATTGACCGTACTTACAGAACTCAAAAGGGAGCGTTCAATAGTAAAAAGTTGCCAGGCTGTAAAACATGGTTTTCTATTCATCATTTGCATCGAAATTTGACTTAACTGAAAATAATAGAAACATATTTGATATTATATAATTGATACGCACCAAGGTAAATTATAATATGATATATTGCATTTTTTGCTTTAACTTTTAATTGATATATTAAAATATGCATAATACTACTACCATATCAGGAAACCTAATAACGTTCAAAATTATAAATTTGGTGTCTTCATTGATTGTATTCAATGATTTTTTCAAAATAGAACTTAAATAAAAGTTTTTTTTTTGTTTTATTGTACTAAGGAAAATACGAAAAGAATCTTAGTTGCTTGCATTTCTAGATAATCAATTTACATGTTATTAAAAAGTTTCCTGAATCAAATCAAAAAGTCTTTATAAACTTGTACTATAGTATTTCTTAATATAGAAATTAAATTAAATCAAGCAGGCAAAAATGATATGTCTCGGATATTAATTTTGGTAAGAGATCTAGTATTTCTTAATATATAAATCAATATAAATTAACACGTTAGTCGCCATGTCAGTCATATGTAGCTGACGCTAAGAACTTCAACATGATATCGCCATGTCAGAGAAAACAAAGATTTAATATAGGGTCTTGTCAGTCATATATGTGTGACTTAATAAGTAGTTGATTTCAGGAATTTTAGCAAAAAAAATCTTTTTCTTTTTGATACACTAAGTTTTTTTGAAACTTTTGTAACTATATTATCTAATAAAGTTAACATAGCCCAGGTGAATTTTTTTTGGATATTATCGATAATTAATAATCGATAATTAATTTGGATATTATGGCGATTAACGTGTTAAATAGGAAAAGCATTTTTTACTAATTTTATTAAATTTATTTTTACCCTCATTTTTATTTCTTGTTCTCCGCTATTATTTAGCAGTTTTAATATTAGCACATCAGACGATTTTGCCTGCAATGAAAATAGTCATGATATTAAGCCAAATGCGCTATTTACATGTAGCCAATAGAAATGTTGAATAACTTGAAACATTTTCAATAAATTTTGATAAACTTTTTTCATTATCAAATTCAAAGCCTTACAATTTTTTTCGGGTAAGTTTGAAAAACAAAGTCTATCAAATGACCCCTTTCATTGGGTGAACAAAACTTTGCTCTTTCAATTGACCACAAGTACTAAAGTATTATAAGCAAAAAAAAAAATTTGGTTAAAATTAAAAGTTTTAAAAAAATATTTAATTACGAGATAAGATGTGATTTTTTTGCCTAAATTTCACAGAAATTACTCATTTATTTATTACCTCATCATTCAAAAGCGTGCACATATTCACGCAAGCAACAATTTGGAACAAATAAGAGCTAGTTTGGCTCGAAAAGAACATAATTACTCCAAAATAGTGCCAAACATCCGAATCATCACTGCTGAATGATATTAACGTGTAGTAAATCCCAAAAATAATTAGTAGAAAAGAAACTGCACATGTAACCAACATCTGTATTGAAAAGAATCTATCTAAGTAGTCGGCAGCATCACATATTGCATCATGTATTTTTCCTATTGAATCCAAAATGACATAACGTTTTTTGTAACGCTGGCACAAAGAAACATTTCCATTAGGTGCAACTGTGTATAACTTGTTTGGATGTGCATTTATCCAAGGAATATTATCAAATTCTTCGAGTTCCTTCAACAATTTATTATAACAGATCAATCTATCAGTTATCACATACATCGACATGACAAACTGCAGGACTACGAAGGATAACATCAAATTTGGTATCACATATGCCCACCATATTGCTATATGAGGATACATGTTGTAAACTGATAGAAAAATGCTACTGCACGTGATATAAAATGAATACATTACGAATAAAAATATAATTGAATAAATTGAAACTTTTCGTGTTTTGATGTAGATAGGTTTCATATCAAAACCTATTTTTATGAGTTCCAAGTCGATCTTGTTCAGGATGCGGAATCCTTCGGTTAGTTCTTGTCTGTAACAAATATAATATATATTTAAGCTAGTTGGTATTGGTATTATGCCTTGAGGCAAGTTACATGAACTTTCCGATATTTACAAATAATCAACATAATCAATAAAAAATAAATTTATGCATGATTGATTAAAAGTATTCCGAGTGGATTTATTACACATAATTGAAAAAGAACGAACACGTTAACACGGAGTGTATCTTCTAAAAGCAAATTTTTAAAAATCAATAATTTTTGTAATTGAACCAAGTTCCGTAGGACTTTAATGGTTTAGTATGTTCATTAAGACAAAGTACTCTATCGCTATACCAAGTAAATCGTCTAATTTTAATTTGAACAAACGTAAAAAAACTACTCATTTTCTCAAACTTTGATGAATTTTTAAACTTAAACTACTTGATGTAAGGCCGTAATATTTCAGTATGTTCTACAAGACCGTGATATATCGCCAAATAAAGTTCTAAATAGTTTCATTTGAAGACTGTTTAGTAAATTGACCATTCGGTTTGAATGGCCAAAAAAGTTTTAGTTGAGATAGGTTCAAAGTGTTTAAGAAATCCGTGATCTATCTGGATGCTGCCGAACTCTATTGAACACTTGCACTTTGCCGAAGGACCAGATATACTTAGCTGTTGGCTATATCAGACCGTTTGAAAAGATAATATGAATAAAAGATGATGAATAACTGTTTGATTATTGTGTATTTGAAATATTAAGACTTATAGATGATATGTTATTGAATGTTCATTTACGACTGCTCTTAACTGTATGAAATTTAAGTTGATACTAAATTATGTAGATTTTATAATTTTATATATTTTTCTGATTGGCCCATTTTGTGGAGTTAAGGACACCCCATTACAATTTTGGAACCAATCAGTGGTTATTACATTTATCAACCGAACAGGTATTGGTTGATAAATTGCATGATACGAAGAATTTAGACTGGATACAGGTAGTGCGAATTTCTTGGAAATATAAGGATGATTGTATGATGTAGTCAGGGACAGGTGATAAAAATTCTAGGAAAAATGGATTACTGATTTTGCGACAGGACGCGTAACAATGAAAGGGATGAATGAGGGTTTATTGTCGCTATCCTGCATGGAGATAATAAAATATAATTATTATACCAGGGTTGGCAATGACGCGTTAACATGCCCCCGGACTTAAAAAATTATGAGGAATTAATTATGAATATTTTTTAACGTTGCTTAATCATAGTTTTATGCCATTGCTTATAACAATGTTAATGTTTTGAAAGTTTATAGATATCACATGACATGTGATGATAATATTGATAATAGATTGATTAATGATAATGATAATGGATATAATGTTAGATTATTCACGGACACTTTACTAGAGTCTTTAAAATTGTCCAAATGTTCAAAATGATTGTACTGACACTTCACTAGAGTCGTTAAAATGCCTAAATGTTTCGCATGATTATTGATAATTGACACTTCACCACACTATAATTATTTAATGTTTCAGATAGTTTTTGATTATTCGGTAATACACAAATTGTTTTTTATGTTTAATATTGATCATTTTCACTGTTTCACAATGTAATCACACAAAAGTTAGTTATTAGATTTTACAATGTCTTTGTTTAATTTTGCTTTTACCACTCGAATGATGATGCCGTCCTTAGGGTGCAGATTTGTGATAATGCCTAATCGCGGTCGTAGTGGTTTTAGAATTTAATCGAGGAATAGTACCATACTACCGAATTTAGCTTACAATAAGTTTTGATGCATTTTTGTGCGTTTTCTTGCACAACCGCTTCTGATGATGTTGCCTTGTTCTCTGATGAAGTTGATAGCTGTTGATAGTTGTCAGAGATTTCAAGCACGCATGGATTTAGGATTGATGTTGGTGGTTTGTCAATTAGGAAATGATAGGGGTTTGAAGGATTGTAATTATTTGGATTGGAACCTTGTAAAGATAATAGTCTAAAATTCAATATTGTTTCAATCTGTGTTAATAATTCGCGAGATTTGCTAGAGTTTGCGGTAAATTGTTTTAAAGCTAATATAAAAGATTCCGCGATCAAATCGTATATTACTTCGATGTCGATAGCTTTGGTGACAAAACACACGAACCAATATGTATATGCTTTATACTTTTTATGGACAAAGCTATGGCGATCTCTTAATATCATAAGATTGAATATTTGCACTGTTGCAGCTAAGATTGATTTTTTGTTAATTGTTTGATTTATAGAGATATTTTTAGAATTAAATTCAAACCCTGTCTTGGCTAAAGTTGTAATTGTTTTATCGCCGATATTAAGCCAAGTATTCTGATTGTTTAAAAAATTTTGATAGTTAGCATTAAAATAATTTACGTTGTACTTTGCTTGATTATGTTTAGTAGTTAGATTTTGTTTATTTAAAATAAGTTTTTCTGTTGCATTGACTTTATTTGATAAGTCAACGTCACAGAAGATGTTTTTAATAATATCGCTTTTTGGATTTTGAGTAAGATTCTTATTTGTTACTTGTTTTATTTGATTATTGAATTTTAATAATGGTGCTGAGGTAGTGTCTCTTATTACCGTATTTGATTTAATGTTGTTGTTAGGTTCAAGATGTGCAGCGTTATAATTAACTTGATTTAAGTTAATTGTTAGAATTTGTTTATTTAAAACTAGTTCTTCTGTCGTATTAGCTTTAGTTGATAAGTTATGATTACAGAAGACGTTTTTAATAACATTGCTTTTTTGATATTGAGTAATATTCTCATTTGTTAATTGATTTGTTATTTGATTATTAGAATCTAATAATAGTACCGAGGTAGTTCCTCTTTTTGCCGTATGTGATTTAATGACGTTTATAGTTTCAAGATGCGCAACGTTTTTAGATTTATTATTATTAGATTCATTGAGAGTTATTGATTCAGATGGAATCGAAATATAGTTGTTTAATGTTTTTGTATGATTGTTTACTATAATAGTTTTACTTTCGTACCGCGATTTTAGCAATTCCCAAACACTTATATAGTTGTCCGCGGTAGCAGGTAGAGAATCGATTATGTTACCTGCTTCGCCTTTCAAGCAAGATTTTAGGTAAGAATATTTTTGAGAATTGCTAATATTTGGGTCAATATGAATTGAATAGAATGAATTATAGAACTGTAACCAGTTAATATCTGTACCGTCGAAATGAGGTAAATTAATTACAGCAAATTTATTATTGTTTGTTTGATATGATTTGTCACCAAGGCTACTATTTGAGCTAGGATCTGTTTTAAATGTTTTAATAATTGTTATTAAAATTACACAGCATTTAGTATAAGTATCATTGAAATCGTAAAATTCTGTATCTATCAAAAAGTCAATGTACTCTTCGTCATCAAAATGATTTGCAATTTGAATTAATATTTCTTGAAAAGTATCTAAAGAAGGTTTTAGTATTTCTAATATTTGTTTAAGCTCTGATATATCTAACTTGCTACTCTCATTTTCTCTTATTCTTTTACAAAAGCTATGGATTTGCGTCAAACGAAATTTCATAAACTCTTTTTTGATATTTAAATTTTCTAAAGAATCCATATTAACACAGATCTACTACGCAAAATTCAAATAACGATAGGTAAAGATAATGAATAGGAAGGATTAAGAAAAAGGAGTGCTTAAATTAGACTGACCTTTGTGTTGTCGCGTCATGTGTCCGCAATTGTTCCTCATGAGCTGATTTGGATTCAGCTGTTGTTTCCTTGATAATGTGCTGCAGCTTTATTGTGCTATAATTATGCTGCTTCTTGTTGTTTCACGATAATACACAATGCACTTACACTGAGATTTATTGTTAATGTTGATGTTAGTTTGATTTAATTGTTTGAATTGTTGTTGATATAATCGTTGTTTAAATTTGATTTTAGATTCACGTTCATGCGATGCAATGTATTATGTTAAAAGATGATTTAACTAATTACACTGTGCACTATAAGTTTTAGATTTTAGATTAATGTTCATGCGATGCAATGTATTATGTTAAAAGATGATTTAACTAATTTCACTGTGCACTATAAGTTTTAGATTTTAGATTAATATTCATGCGATGCAATGCATTATGTTAAAAGATGATTTAACTAATTACACTGTGCACTATAAGTTTTAGATTTTAGATTAATGTTCATGCGATGCAATGTATTATGTTAAAAGATGATTTAACTAATTATACTGTGCACTATAAGTTTTAGATTTTAGATTTTAGATTAATATTCATGCGATGCAGTGCATTATGTTAAAAGATGATTTAACTAATTACACTGTGCACTATGAGTTTTAGATTTTAGATTTTAGATAAAGGTTTTTAACTTAATATGCGATGCAATGTATTACACTAGAAGATGAAGATTTAAATAATACACTGTGCACTAAGTTTTAGATTTTAGATTTTAGATAAAGGTTTTTAACTTAATATGCGATGCAATGTATTACACTAGAAGATGAAGATTTAAATAATACACTGTGCACTAAGTTTTAGATTTTAGATTTTAGATAAAGGTTTTTAACTTAATATGCGATGCAATGTATTACACTAGAAGATGAAGATTTAAATAATACACTGTGCACTAAGTTTTAGATTTTAGATTTTAGATAAAGGTTTTTAACTTAATATGCGATGCAGTGTATCACGCTAGAAGATGAAGATTTAAATAATACACTGTGCACTAAGTTTTAGGTTTTAGATTTAGATTAATGTTCCACTTTCACTGGTTGATCCGGTTCGAATAGGACCAAAAAATGTTTAGTAAAATGACCATTCGGTTTGAATGGCCAAAAAAGTATTTGTTTAGATAGGTTCAAAGTGTTTAAGAAGTTCGTGATCTATCTGGATGCTGCCGAACTCTATTGAACACTTGCACTTTGCCGAAGGACCAGATATATTTAGTTGTTGGCTATATCAGACCGTTTGAAAAGATAATATGAATAAAAGATGTTGAATAACTGTTTGATTATTGTGTATTTGAAATATTAAGATTTATAGATGATTAGATAGAGGTTTGAATTAGATGTTTTGGATTTGAGTGTTAATTTACGACTGCTCTTAACTGTATGAAATTTAAGTTGATACTAAATTATGTAGATTTTATAATTTTATATATTTTTCTGATTGGCCCATTTTGTGGAGTTAAGGACACCCCATTACAATTTTGGAACCAATCAGTGGTTATTACATTTATCAACCGAACAGGTATTGGTTGATAAATTGCATGATACGAAGAATTTAAACTGGATACAGGTAGTGCGAATTTCTTGGAAATATAAGGATGATTGTATGATGTAGTCAGGGACAGGTGATAAAAATTCTAGGAAAAATGGATTACTGATTTTGCGACAGGACGCGTAACAATGAAAGGGATGAATGAGGGTTTATTGTCGCTATCCTGCATGGAGATAATAAAATATAATTATTATACCAGGGTTGGCAATGACGCGTTAACAAAGACAAATTGTAATTCTTCCAAGCTTTAATGAATTTTTGTAATCAAATTACTTATCTTAGGACTATAATATTTTATATTATAACTATGCAAATTTTCGTTAGAATCGAAATTTTGGATGAGCAAGATTGGCAAAATCGGTACAGGATTTTTGGCAAAAGAGTAGATGAAGAATTATTCACTTAACTGCTAATTATTAAAAAAAGCTGGACCGATTTTGTGTGAAACTGACAAATTCGATTCCTTATTTAGTATCCTTTGACTAGCTTTGACTTTGGCTCGTGACAAAAATTTTTACCCAAAAATTAATCCCACAACTCTAGGATCCAAGTTTTATAGAGCTAAATGGTACGGGAAAGAGTTAAAATTGGTGCAACTGTTTTTGAAAATATCAGCGCAGAAATTTTTAAAATTATCAAATCGGATTTTTTTGGCAAAAACATAAACTTCTTCTTTCTCCAGTACTGTTACTCAAGTTTATAGAAAAAAGTTGCATGTGAGACTACAATTTTCTTACCTTCTCAACAAACTGGCAGCAAACATCAAAATCATTGATATGAAACCAACCAAAAGTTGGAAATTGTCCCCAAATTTTGATATTTCACTCTCATAAAAAAATGACACCATACTCCAGGATTCTATAACCACTTTTATTAAACATACCCCGTATAAAAACAACTGGATAGTAGTTAGGAAGATTCCGAGTTGGGTTACGTGGAATTCCTGTAATTGAAATAAAACTTATCACATTAAAATAATCAAATACTAAATTTCTAAAATACACACATTCATAGTTTTTTTTTTTACATATAAATGAAAAAATAATTAAAATTATATGAAAAGAAATTAGATTGTTATTAGTTATTAGTTTATCATACCTGATAACCTGCAGTTCCAGTGATTTGAAAAGGTGACAATCCTGATGCAAATGATATAATAAATACTGGTAAAATCGATTTATGAAAATCTGTTGGTTCAAACGTCATCTTCAATTCTTTTAAATAATTTTTCAATTTTAATATTTTCATTGTAATGTGTTTTAAACAAAGAAATGATTCAATAATAGCAAAATTGTAACACTATTAGAGAAACGTAACTTCTAAGTAATAATATGGATATTTATTATAAAAAAAATTTCTATGAATTAAAATAATATATATTGATATATAGAAAGCTAACACAATCTACTAGATAAAATCACAAGTAAATTTAATTATACAACGGATTGAGGTATGTATGTTTATTATGCGTATTTGTACAAAAGTTTTATCGATCGCATACAATTTAATACATTTTTATACAAATAAAACAATATATATATATATATATATATATATATTATACACTATATTCACTATTAAAAAAATAAAAAAATTCCTAAGTTTATATTAGAAAATTAATTCAATATATAACGATTCACACATATAAAGATTCGATTTAAGTTGGTATATACATAAGCTATGCATTATTTATAATTATGATTTTATTTGTGAATAATAAAAAAATAATTCAATTTAACAAATATGAACATAACTTTTATAAATAAATAGTTAAAATATATTAATTTTTATAATCGAATATGCAATGTACAGGATTCGAGAATTGGAACAATATTATTAAATATATAGAACTCGATGCAACCATCTGGAAATTAATATAATTCGATATATTTTATACTGATTTATATATATATATATATATATATATATATATATATATATATATATATAATAGAAGCAATAATAAATTTCATACCGATCGTAATAAAGTTGGTTTTAAAATGAATACACCACCAGCACTAAATTTTGGACTCCGAATAATTATTTGGATTGATAATTGGCTTAGCTAAAATAAATTTTGAAAAGATAATATAAACATAATATAATAAATTTCTGCACTTTAATTCATAATATAAAAATATATTTGCACATAACTAGAACTTACTCTTAATTTGGTGCATCTTTTTTCAGATTCATTTATTAAAACCAGCAGCTTTTTGTGACAATTTGTAATCTGAAATATTACAACAAAATCACTAAATTACATAAAAAGGTTAATTTTTAAATGAATAACATTTAAATCAATTGAAAATTTTGTTTTCATTTTACGTAAATTATTATAAGGACAATTATACAATACTTTGCAACCAAATATTATAAATTATAGAAAATTTTAAGCAAACAAATTTTGGAAAAAAAAATTGGTAAAAAATGTTTTTGGAAAAAATTTTGGGAAATAAATTTTTTGGGAAAAACTTTTGGAAAAAACAAATTGCCCCAAATTTTATTCCAACAAAATTATTTCCCAAAAATTTTTCCCAAAATTTTCTCAAAAAAAAAAAAATCCCCAAAATTTTGTTCCCCAAAAAAAATTGTATACAATTTAATATAATATAATATAATAAATTCTTCAGGAATGTAAATCAAATTGTTCCTATGACTAGAGATATAATTAGGAAAATAATATTTTGTACAACTTTTATACTTACTTCATTATAAAACTGTGCACAAAATACCACAAGACAAATCATCTGGCAGATATTGGCAATGAAAGGACAAAGAAAAAAAGTCATTACTCCAATATATTTTGCTAAATCAGCTTCATAGTCCATTATGGAAATCAAGCTATAATATGCAAAAAATACAATCATCACAAAAGCATCCAAACACAATACTAGCATTTGGTTGTTGAAATATGCATTTATATGATCTACAATTTCGCATAATTTTTCGTGCAATTTTCCAATAACATCTATTATAGTTGCATATTTTTTCTGTTTCATAGTATGCCTTTTTTCATCGCCATCTAGCCAAGCAGAAGTTGATATGATTTCCAAATTATTTATTAGTGTTTTAATAAGTCCCATCCTCAAAGTTAAAATATATACATAAAATGAAAACTGCAATATAATCATTGTACTGACAATATTGGGAAAAACAAAGGAAAACCATAATGATGCTCGAGGATAAATTCCATATAATCGAACTATTATCTGCGTAGTGAATATATAAGAAGAATACATCCAAATGATTACAATTGCAAAAAATATACTGAGTTTTCGTGTTTTATTATAAGTCTCTGTCAAAGAAAGTCCGATTCTCATAAAATCCAGATCAAGATCCTTCAGTAATTTGAGACCATCCAGTAGCTTTTTTCTGAAACCAATAAGGAACTATATTAAATAAACGAAATATACTTGCTCAATATATTGTAATTATTGTGTTCTAATAATTGTAATAAAAAATAATTCTTAGTAAAATTTTTGTTGATGATGTGTTGACATTTTCCCATTTTTTCAGATTTTCAGCTCATTACTACGGGAAGTTAATGAAGTTTTGATATTTATTAAAATGTGCCAGTATTTTCCGTCCTTCCTTACCTCTTTAATACTGTTAGGAAGTAAAAAGTGCTCAAAGTTGTAATTCCCAAATAAAGCTGAAAATTATCAGCAAACGATGTATTATCACTTTTAATAAAAAATGTAAAAACCTCATTTTCGTGCAACGAAGTTGTTAATATTGACATAACATATAACAAGTAAAAGCATATCATTAATGATAATCCCAGTAAATTCAGTCGAAGTTCCTGTAATATAAATGAAAAATATATTATTAATATATAATATTCACATTAATGTTCAAGATTTAATGAGAAATTTATTTATTAATATATTACATTAAGGTTTGTCGAAATTTTGAAAGGACCAAGACCAACTGACATTGGCATCCAAAATTGCACTGCAATGGAACTGTATAAATCGTTAGCACTAAGAAATTTTTTTAAGCTAGATTTTATTATTTTTATATTCAACATTTTTATTTTATGTAAAAGTTTGAATTTGTTATTATAATTTTGAGTAGAGAAGTTTTTGTGATATATTTTTGTATACATATTAAATTATACTCAGTCATGCAAGAAATACATTTCTTCCGGGTCAAAATAAAACCAATACTATATGCATAATCTAATCAATATTAATTGCACATAAATTTTAAATGGCTTTTCTCTATTACCAAAAACATAAACGTAGTTCATTTTAATATCTATAAATTAATTACTGGAACAGTATTGCTAGTAAAAATTTACCATACTTATCAATTTTTTTTAATATAAATTAAAACGCAGTTTGGAGTGCTTTTGGTGATATTTGATACATTGTCAACAATTGGCATTTACAGTTAGTAAAATATTATACATTTTAATATATCTATATATATATCTAGAAATTGTGTAGGTAAAAATAGGTACATACATACATCATATTCTTTCAAAATATTTATATTATATAACAATCACTTGGACTAATGAGTTTAAACAAAGTTTACTAACACAAAATCTATCCCAATTTCAAGTTAATATATTGGCACATCTCCGTGCCTAGAGGATGATATTGACTTCAAATCAGAGATACCACGTTAGACACCTGTCTCGGACAGCCTGATGTCAAGCAGCAGTGACATCGTTTTTCAATAACAAGCAAAGTATTACTAACTATGTTTGTTAGTGAAAAACGATGTCACTGCTGCTTGACATCAGGCTGTCCGAGACAAGTATCTCGGTTTCCAAGTGAAAATTGTTCTTTTGTGGTATTGTCGCATAACTCTAAATTTATCAGTATTACATAAATTGTGTTAATAAATCTCATCGCATAGTATTAGAGCAACCAATTGAGTTTCCATGTATAAAAAATAAACGTTGTTTAAGAAATTTAGCACAACAAATGATATGACTCGTTAAATTCTGATTGCTGTTAAAAATATATCAATAAATGTCCACATATCATTCTATCTATAGAGAAACAGAAAAAATATTTTTATATTGTTGATTGACACATGAATGAGAAACAAATAATAAACTAGTAGTGTATGGCATCGTGCCTTAAGGCAAATTGCTGGAAATTCCCGTACCGTCAAAATGTTCAAGGAATATTAAATGTTTTCAAACAGATTATTATAAATTTTGTAATATCGTTTAATATTTATAAGAATTATATAAACTGAATTATAAAATTAAAATTATTTACTTGAAGTATATAAGTGAGCTTTGGAACTTTAACCAGAATCATAATTGAAATCTGAATTATTTTCGATATTCAAAAAAAAAAAATAAATAAAAAAAAATTGAAATAATTTATTTTTTCTAAAGCAATTATTTTGTCAACAAGCAGAAAGTTTTTTGAATCATTCAAATCGGATGCTTATTTCTCTCAAAAACTGCCAGTTTTTGTACACTTAGCTCTGTATCTTCTGAATGGTTGGACCTGCCTTTGCCAAAAACTAATCACTACTTCTCCCAATCATTACAAATTAAATGTTTTTTAGATCATTCAAATCGGATGCTCCGTTCTCTATTTCTATTTTTTGCACTCTATGCTCTTTATCTCCATAACGGCTGGACCTGCCTTTGCCAAAAACTAATCAACACTTGGAATCGAATGTTTTCTGAACAATTCAAAGCGATTGATCCGTGCGCCCGAAAACGTGAACGAAAAAGTGCGGACACACAAAACCCACACTCACACACACATCCATTTTTTCTGAGGTATGCCAAAATGTTCAGATACCTTCAAAACGTACCATAAGCAATTTTCTACACATCACTAACAATCTTAATTTTCTAATTATTAGTGGTACAATATTTTTTCATGAAGATAATTCTCTATAAGTTTAGACATTGCTATTTGTTTTTACCATTTTGCAAAAATATTCGTGACCCAACATGGCCCCTGGGCTTCTTTGAACTTTAAAAGACATGAGAGGGCCTATGAAGACCGAGTTTTGATAAAATTACGTTTTGAATACCATCAAATATATATGAAAGAGAAAATTATTCGAACACGTTCTAAACTTTGTTAAATATTATAAGCTGGTGTAATTATGTGTTAATATCTGTTGCATCATCTGATGAATCTTTCTCATCATTACCGTTAAAGGTTATATTGATTCGAGTTATTAAATTATTTTAATTATATAATTTTGTTTTGGTAAATGAGGAGATAACTGTAAAAATTTAACCAAACCAATTAAATCTGAGAAACACATAGGCAAACTGAGAGGTTAGCCTTTTTATCCTACTATTCCATAAAATGTCAAATATAAAAGCATCTTGAACTAGGTGTAAATATCAAGTCAAGTGCCTTAAGGCAAGTTTTATAAGCTTCCAGATGTGTGTAAATTGACTTACTTATAATCATTTAGATTCAACAATTTTCAAAATTGTGGTTATTTCAAATTTTCATTCATTTTTAATCACTTTTTAAAATAGGTGCTATCGTTTTTGAGAAAATGTGGACGAAAAGTGAACATCAGCAAGTCATTTCTAGTTTGGTCTCAACCGATTCAGAATGACATGAAACGTTGCAATAAACTTCTTCAAAAATTAAAAATTAAAATTAAACATATCCAAACTTGCTCAAGCATTTACTATAAAACCATATTTGTTCATGCTAGCTTATAGTGCTACTATAAGAAAATAGAGCAAATTTATCTCAAAACTGGTCTTTCAATTTAGAAGTTAATTTAACTAAGCTTTATTTTAAAAAATCTTTAAAAAATCAGTTTTCATGCGTACAAAACTTTCCATTCAAGATCACATTTTCCTTCATAGATCACATTTCCTGCAACTTATCAAAGAACTACGCATATGGGAAAAAGATTTCAATTATAATCAGAGTTTAGAGAAAGTATCTTTCTATACCTTAGATTTCAAATTTAAAAATAATGTGGCCATGAATCATTTACTGCATGATGATTCGTGATGAAGTAGTTCTACTGTAAATGAAGACACAAATTTTCTGCACTATCTAAAGTTATAAACATTCAATATCACGACCTCGAGATTTTATTCTTAATAATCGTAATTGAAATTTAAAAGTTTGATATGAATTTTTTGTCACCTTGATTTTTTGCAATTTTTATTGACAAGTATAAATATAGAAGTTGAAGATCGATACAAAAAAAATTAATAAATGCATTCCAATGTTATATCTAAACTTAAATACGAAAGAAATATTATTATAATTTCTTTATTTTTTTGAATAAATTATTAAGTTTTTTTTAATACTGCAACTTAAATAAATTAAAATTATCGAAAAACTAGGTTTAAATATTTTTTCTTACAATAACTTAATAGTAATCAAAAAATTAAAAAAATCTATAAACGTTCAAATTTTACACAGCTTTTTTTGAATAGCGATAGGAACTATATGTTCAATAAGCTATGTTAACTATATTACCTAGAATTTTTCTCGAATGAGTAAAGTATGTTCCAAATTCTTTGGAACATAACCCATTAGACGCCGATATCTGAACAGTAAACGATAAAAAACTAACTTTTTCAGACAAGTACAAAAGCTGCTTCTAATATCACCCAACTTGGTCACAGAACTTTGCCAAAAATCAGAGCCAGATTAAAAAGGAAGATCATTCTACATTAATTTCGGTTTATTTTAAAGTTACTATTAATGGTCAGGATAGATAATTTTATATTTTCAGCCTGTTTTATTCTTAAATTTTTACTTGATGCCAATTTTAAGACAAATACAAAAATTATAGTATAATAAAGAAAACTCAAGACTTTAGCTAGTCTATCAGTATATTTTTTTTAATAATGATACAAAAACTCAATGACGAATGTGCACTGATTAGTTAGTTACTTGTAATTAGTTTTAGTTAGTTTCACTGAAGGTCAAATCCGGCTCGAAGAACCAAAAAACAGAGGCTCGGCGCAATGTATATTGTAAAAGGTAATAATCATAGAAAATAATTGTAGGCAACAATACAAGCACTTTAATTAGCTCAAAGGACCAGATATACTGTATTATTAAATAGGCTTCATAAAAAATATAAGAAATATATTACAGCTGTCAGCTTAGCATGTGAAAAATTAAAGTATATATAGTTTGTTAAATTTAAAATAAACATAAGATTACAATCCTAGTTTTGAATAAGATTATGATAAAATCTGTTAATTTTTTTAAGCTATATAAACCTTGCATAAATTATACCTTCAAAAATATTCATTTGTGTCTTTCACAAAATTATAAATTTGAGATATTTATGATATACCTAAACAAATTCAAACAGATTTTTCTGAATAAATATTTAACTTCCCGTAGGGCAAATTATAGTATCGCAAGAAAATCGAAAAAAATTTT